GGGGGGGATGGAAGGGTGAATGTGGCTTAGGGAGTCCCAGCGCGGAGAGCTGCGCTGTAGACTTACCCCAAGAGGCCTGAGGCTAGGAGAGTTAGCCGGTGGTACAGGCCCAGGGAAGCAGAGAGAGGTGAGGGCGGGGTCAGGACCAGAAGCGGTGCTCCTGCAGGCCCAGGGAAGCAGAGAGCTGGCTATCTTTTTTAAAATGTCCTTTGTTATATTATTAACTATGCTTATGTTATTTCAGTAGTTGCTATAGGGTTATAGGATGTAACAAATTGTCACAGTCAATAACAGTATACTACTAACAGTACTTTATGTACCACATAAGAACTGTACACAGCATCACACCTTCATTTTTTACCTCTTGGTTTGTGCAGTTGTTGTACATTTCAGTTACATGTTATAAGTGTCATAAAATGCTGTTGGAACTTTAAATAGTTACTTTTTGAATGCAGTCCTGCAACATGTAATAACATTTCCATCATGTATCACATATCTGAAGGTCTAGTAGTATAAGGCCTAGTGACATTTAGCCATTTTACTCTATATAAGTACACCATAGGTTTACACAATAAGATTGCCAGAAGACATTCTTTTTAAAAATATTTACTATTTTTATGTGTATGAGTGTACTGACCTACGTGTATGTGAATGCACTATGTCATGCAATGCCGCAGAGGTCAGAAAAGGGTATTGGATTTCCCTGGAACTGGAGTTGAGTTCATAGCTGCCATGTGGATGCTGGGAATCAAACCCAGGTCTCTATAAATAGAGTGGTCAGTGCTCTTAACCACTGAGCCATCTCTCCAGCCCCCAAAAGACATTTCTTAAAATTTACCTCTGTTGTCAGTAATACATGACTGTAACAAGATACTTGCATGTGATAATCACTGTGTATTCAAGACTTAAAGAGGGGCATAGGGGGCTGGAGAGATGGCTCAGTGGTTAAGAACACTGACTGTTCTTAAAGACGACCTGGGTTTGAATCTCAGCACCCACATGGCAGCTAATAGCTGTCTGTAACTCCAGTCCCAGGGGATCCGACAGCCTCTTCTGTCTTCTGAGGGCTTTGCATGACACGGGTGCACTTACTTACATGCAGGCAGTACATGCATACACATAAAATAAAAATAAAAAATAATTTTTTTTTTAAAAAAAGAGGGACATAAGTTTCTGGAACCCACTCTCAGTGAAGTTTCTTCTCCATCTTCCTGCTTTGCAAACTGTAGCTAAATTGTATTCCCCAGCTGCCAACTCTTTTTGCTCTATTCAAGATACCATCAGGCAGAAAGGTTAGGATAATCATGCATCACCTAATACATTTATTTTCTTCTCAAGTGTCACTTTGTTTTGTTTCTTTCATTTATTTACTTTCATATGTATGAATGTTTTGTCTACGTGTATATAAGTGCACCATGTGTATATAAGTGCCTCAGAAGCCAGAAAAGGGTGGGTGCTAGGAACTGAACTTGTGTAACCATTGAGCCATCTCTCAAGCCCCTCCTTTGTTCCTTCTCTTGAAAAATCTTACATAGTAGGTCAAGACAGTTGTTGCCAAACCTGAGAACCTGAGTTTGATCTCTAGAATCTACATGGTAGAAGGAAAGAACTTATTCCTGAAAGTTGTTCTCTGGTTCCACCTCCCACGTGAATACACAAATAAAACTAGTAATTTTTTAAAATCTTTTTTATATTTGTTTTTATTACGAGTTGAGTCTCTTTTATTCTGTCTTAACCTAAACCTGAAATCCCAACAGTTTTATGTATTTGGACAGAATGTTCTCTTGTGCCCCTGGCACACCAAAAACTTGACTGAAGTGGCAGGTCTTTAAGTTTTGTCATGTTTATTTCCAACCTTCTGGTGCTTACATCACCGAGTACTGAAGGGTATGAACCACCTCTGATTCATTCTTTTATTCTTCTGTCCAGTCAGTATGATGTCATCTATGTAATTAGGAGATAAGGATGTCTTTTACTGTTACAACAGAGCAGGAAAATTAAAGTAGTCCTATGGTAAAACCATAAGTTAATGTTGCCCTATACAACTGCAAACTGTTTTTGAAACTACCTTAAAATCAGAAAAGGCATGCATTTACCAGATGAGTACTGTGTGAGACTTACTTGGCTCCCACAACTCTATTATGTCTGAGACTGTAGCTGTGATGGGGCTAGAAATGGCCCACACAGATTAAGCTCGTCATCACCTGACTGAGTACTGGTGGCACTGGTCCTTGTTATTTTTTTTGTCTTCTAAAAACAATCTTGTCTTTGGTGTACTATGTTGTTCTGGGGGCTTGGGCAGTTTCAGAGGTTTGCGTTCAGCTCGCTCACTGTCACAGCTCTGAGGTCATGTAGCCAAGTACATAAATTCTTGAGTTCAAGAAGCAGGGACTGACTGTTATTAGGTTATTCTGGTTATTATATGGATCTGCAAGGTCAGTGGATCCACTGTGAGCTAGCCTGTTGGCCAAGGCTGTATTCATTATCTCCATTGGTTGGGTCAGATTTTGGCTGATTGGTTGGTTCATTTGCCTCCTAGCACTTTTAGCTAGAATCATTGTCTTAGTTCCATTGACTTGCTGGGTGGTCTGGTTTAAGATGTCATCACCTATCTGGTATCTTGGTGCCATCTCCCTGGGGCTAGTATGGGCTTCTCTGTAACATGGGTGGTCTCTGTGTACTTGAGTGTCTGAAGTTAATGCAAGGCATTTGTTTTGTTGGTCAGAACAAATCAGAGAACCAACCCAATTCTGTGGGAAGAACACAGATTGCAATTTTTTTTTTTTTTTTTTTGGTTTTTTTGAGATAGGGTCTCCCTGGAGCTCACTATGTAGATCAGGCTGGCCTTGAACTCACAAAGATCTGCCTGCTTCTGCCTCCCAAGTGCTGGAATTAAAGGCATGCTCCACCCACCACGCCTGGTATCAGATTGCAATTCTTGATGAAGGGATGGTAGTTATATTGCAAAAGAGCATGTGGGGTAAGTTACCTCTTTGTAACAGTGTTTGGAAATATAACTTGGTATATCTGCTCTCCAGAAATATGTAGGACTTTCTTACTTGCTGTGGTTTTTTCTTTTAATCCAATGAGCCCTTTTATAAACTTAAATATCTCTTCCTATAAGAGTTTATCAGGTAGAGGGTGTGTATCAGGTAGAGGGTGTTCAACCCACCATAGTTATTTGAAAATTGTAGTATTTGGATTCGGGGTTATTGGTGCTTTGCTTGCTGGCCGCATATAGCCTTATTAGCCTGTTGCAAAGCAAGCTGTCTCAGTTTCTTTTCTCTATTGCTAATTAATGTCTGGCAAATTGTAGCAGATAGCAGAATGTAACAGTGGTGAGCAGTGATCTGAGCTAATGTGAAGATATTCCTTACATGGGAATAAGGGAGTACATTTTATGTAGAGAATTTAAGCTTAACTGCTTTCATTATCACCATATACTAACCATCTTAAATGACAGTCAGTGGCAGAATATGCCTTTCTGTCCGGGATGTAAACTATTGTCTTGGTCTCTCACTTAGTAGTATGCCAAGGCTCTTAGTTGAGATTATACTTATAATCCTGGTGTTTCTGTGTTTTGTAACTAGTTATCTGAGTAAGGACTAGAGAAAGATTGTCTACCTCTTTCAGAGTGACAGTCATGTTGTCCCATTGGACATGTTTTTGCTTAGTAGGAGATCATATTACTGAGTCCCTTTAGATTATTTCGAAAATCATTTTTCAAGGAGAATATTGAAAAACTATGGGGCTGTACACATGGCTCAGTGGTTAAGAGCACTTACTGCTGTTAAGTTCCTAGCAATCACACCAGCTGGCTTTACTGGCCTCTGCTGGCACATGCACTCACATGCACATACCCTTCTCCCACATACACATAATTAAAAATAAAATCTTTATAAAAGAAAAATTAAGTCATCTATAAGGTATTTGGGTATAACAGACTAATTTAAGAGAAACTGAACACAAAGTGAGACTTAAATGACTAAGTATTTTGTAGAAGCTGAATAAGAAAAGGTTATTTGTATCTATTTAGAAGGAAAATAATGAGTTTATACGCTTTGATATGAAGTGGCCAGTTTTGGGGTATTGTCTGAATAGATGCCATACCCATGTGAAAGAGGAGTTCCTGCATGGTGGGAGCTCTTTCCCTTGTTAAACTTTAGTGATCAGTAGTTTTGTGGCTCCTTGTAGTTAATATAGCTTTGTGATAAATGGTTGGGTGCTTACAACCGAATTTGTGGGATATATTTCAGAATGAGTATTTGATAAGTAATCTGAAAACTCTTTTGTTCACAGGACTTAAATACTATTTATTCTTACCTCCATGGGATGGAAATCTTATCAAATCTCAGGGAACATCAGCTTAGGTAAGTGTGGTACTGGTTTACCAGTCTTTACTAAATAGTTACTGATTTATTCTCCAGCTACATGCTAAACACCCTTTACATTCTTCATTTTGTTTTAGGCATTTGAAATATTAGATCCCCTTTGTCCAAGAGTTTATATTCTTTTTGGGGGGGGGGGGTCTCTTTGAGACAGGGTCTCCCTGTAGCCCCAGCTGTCCTGGAACTCACTTTGTAGACCAAGTTGGCTTTGAACTGACAGAGATCCACCTGCCTTTGCCTCCAAGTGCTGGGATTAAAGGGGTGTGCCACCACGCCTGGCTAAGAGTTTATATTCTTATGAGGTTGATTGGGGAGTGGGAGAATGCTGCAGCCAAAGGTATAACAGTGTGCTGAAACGGTGAGTGCTGTGAGTGTGGTACAGCATAGTGGTGTGAGCACCTGCCAGTTGCTTGAGTTTAAATGACAGTGAAGACCTGTCAAAGGGAGTAGAAGCCTCACTGACCAAGCCAAGATAGAGGACTGTGATATCTGATCAAGAGTGAGATGAGGGGTAGGGACAGGTGATTTAGGAAATTTTAGGGGATAGGTGGAGACAGAGACATTGCCCTCCCTCCCTTCCTTCCTTTCCTTCCATCTGTCTGTCTGAGACAGGGTCTCCCTATAGCCCTAGCTGGCCTGGAATTCGCTTTGGAGACCAGGCTGGCCTGGAACTCAAAGAGATGCACCTGCCTCTGCCCCCTAGGACTAAAGGTGTGTGCCACCACACCCGGTTAGACATTACCCGTTCTTAATCCAGCTTTTATTGGCCATGGCTCTTAAGTCTATAATGAAAGCTACAGTTTTGTCTTTTATAAGATAGGGATGATAACAGTGTCTTTGTTAGTGTTTTTGTTTTTAAGACAGGGTCTCCCTGTAACCCCAGATGGCCTGGAACTTACTCAAGGTGTATACCACCACATCTATCATATTTCAGTGTTTCAGAATTAAATGAGAATAACTGAAATAAAGAATAGTGCTTGTTGTATGTCAGATAATGAAATCAAAACTTCTCTATTTTCTTTTTGCAGTTTGTCTTGTTATTTATTGTGACAAATATTGAAGATGAACATAGTGTATTGACTTGGCATAACCTCCCGTGGACAGCCCCTGCATCCTCTCCCTTAAGATAGTCAGACTGCTTATCATGTGATTATATTTGTAAAGATACTGTAATGCTGCAAAACACTAATTGTAATTTTGTATATTTTCATTGCACGTTCCCTTCCGTGACGTATTTAACTGATTACTTTTCCTCAGTGCTCTTCTCCAGGCTACTACAGTATAATTTGGGCTTTTCTGTGTAATGTAATTCAGGTGTTTGTAGATGTGAGTAAATCAGGACGAAGAAAAGCTAAAAATTTGAAGTTAGTAGTGTTAAAATTACTTATTTTAGTTAAGATTTTTTTAATTCAACAAGTTTATATACTTAACATTTTTTGTGTATGCTGTTGCAAGTAACTGTTCTTCACAGTGAGGATATTGGAGTTAACCATTCAAAAGTGTATTTTAGTTAATAAAAGTATTTACTGTGAATTGACCAGGTTTTTGCTTGTTTTTATTAAATTTATTAATCTTTATTTTATGTGTCTCCATGTTCAGTGGAGGCCAGAAGAGGGCATCAGATCCTCTGGAATTGTAGTTAAGATGGTTGTGAGCCACCATGTGGGTGCTGGGAACTAAACCCAGGTCCTCTGCAAGACCAGCCAGTGCTCTTAACCGCTGAGCTGTTTCTCTAACCCCAGAATTGATCAGTTTTATAATGTACAGAAGAGTATTAAGTCCATGCCACCTAGTACTGTCCATTCCTTTTTTGTTTGATTACTTTGGTTTTGCTTTGCTTTCTTTGGTACAAGTTCTCACTGTGTCACTCTGACTTCTCCAACTTGTGCCTCTGCCTCTGCCTAGAGTGCTAGGATTACAGGTATATGCCACCACGACTGGCCTATATTACTTACAAAAATGAAAAAAGGAAAAATATTTGAAGATAAACCAGAATATTATCTCTTGCTTTTATAAAAAATGTTGCTGTCTTACATAATATCTCTAAACTTTATGAAAACTTATTTAAAATAGATCTAATCACTTCCAGTTGATACAATTTTTTTAAACTAAATGTAAGAAAAGCTTTTTACCTTTTTTTATTAGGTTAATGTCTGCAAGAGCTCGCTATGAGAGATACAGTGGCAATCAAATTCTTTTTTGGTAAGTAGTTCTATAATTAGCTTAAATGATTTATGTTTAAATCTTGACTTTTACCATTAGATTTCATTTGGTAGTCAGCATACAAATCATACAAACTGTCTAATGGATCAAGTGTTAGACACATAAGCCTTTGTCAGTACTTCTACCGTGGAGACAAGCCTTTCAGAAAGCTCTGCTCAGCTCTGTTTTGGAATGTAATCATAGTTGTGATTTCATCGCCACATATTTTTACCTTTTTCAACTTCTTTTTTTAAAAGCATCTTACTATTTTTGTTTCACTTTATGTTTATGAGTTAATTGCCTGCATGTAGGTAGGTGCACCCATGTTGTGCAGTGCCCAGAGGTCAGAAGAAAGCAAAGGATCCCCTAGAACTGGAGTTACAGATGGTTGTTAGCTGCCGTATGGGTGCTGGGAATTGAACCTGGATCCTCTGCAAGAATGGCCAGTGCTCCAGCCTCCCTTTCCACTTCTTGGTAGAATATTTGGGTCTGGCTTTTCTGCTTAGCAGATGTCAGTCTATTCTGTAATGTTCTGCCTTGATTCTTTTCGTTGCTATAGAATAGACATTGGTTAGAATACATTGGTTGGTTCTAGATTTTTAGTACTATGAAAAATAAACTTTCATGGACATTTTGCTCCTTTCTTTTGGTGCCTCTTGTACTTTTTCCTAAGAATAGAATTACTAGAATTTGGCATGTTCAATTTTAGGAAATTCTGACGCTTCCTAAAATAGTTGTACCAGTCTTGGTGACCATGAGTTGTGTAGAGTAAGTTCCAGTTGCTCCATGAACTTGACAGCCCTGGACAGCCCTTGAAATTTACTTTGTATACTTACTTTGGATTTTAGACATTACTTCATTATCTCATGGTGATTTTATATTTTCCTGTTTACTAATAGTGATGAATGGTTTTCATGTTTTTATAGGCTATTTGGGTAATTTCTAATGAAATACTGTTTTAAGTTTATTTGACCATTTTTTTAGTTGTGTTCCTTTGATTATATTTATTTGTAAAATTCTTTTAGGAATCTTGACTCAAAATCTTTGGTAGGTGTACTACTGCAAATACTGTTCCCGCTGTGATTTTTATTTTTTACATCTTTTAAAGAATATCCTATCTACATAGGAAGTTCCCAGTCAGACCTGCATAACAAGATCCCTATCTTGATTTAAAAAAAAAAAAATCTTTAAAGATATCAAATTGAAAAAGATGGATATTAGTCATTACAAAACCTGATGAAATCAGTATAGATGTCAGCCAGGAATTCTGTAAGAAATGAGAGAATTGACCTTTAGTGTCTGAAATTGATTACATCAGTGGACACTGAGGTTTGATCTGGTGATCTAAAATTCAAGGCTGGGAATTTTTAATGAGAAAAGAAAAGAGTGGCTTGGAATTGATAAGGGGTACAAGGAGAGGTCATGGAGCCCTCTCTAGTCCTATCTTCTCACACTCTTGACAGCAAACTTTACATACTTTCTGGCCAGCTCTTTTCATCTGGGCCCAAAGTTAATAATGTTAACTGTTCAGCCACGTGCCTTGAAGCCCAGTACTTGGGAGAATCTCTGTGAGTTCAAGGCCACCTTGGTCTATATAGCGAGTTTCAGGCCAGCTGGGGATACAGAGAGATCCTGTCTCAATACAGCCAAAAATAAATAAATACTGTTATTATTCACCTTTAGCCTCAACCTTTAAATGCTGGGATGTTTTGTATCATGCCCTTCATACACATTCATGTTTTCTTTATGATGTGTGTATATACTACGTTGCTGTTCAATATGTACCTGTATTTTATATGTATCTCTTCTATGACTGTATGTTTTATAATTATATGGTAGCCCATGATACATATACAGATAATAGACAATTCGAAAACAAATGAGCAATAAGAAAAAATTAATTCCTGAAATTTTGTTCTGTAGATTAGGAATGGTAAGATTATAGAACTAAATGATATGATAGCATATGGCTTTTGCTGTGCAGTACTATATGTTGGAAAAGAGATCATGCTGTTTTTTATTTTCAGTGTCACTAAGCAATGAGTAGGCACTGTTTTCATCACAACCTTTAAAAATAGGGTAATTTCTGCTGGGCTTGGTGGCGCACGCCTTTAATCCCAGCAGTAGGGAGGCAGAGGCAGGCGGATCTCTGTGAGTTCAAGGCCAGCCTGGTCTACATAGTGAGTTCCAGGCCAGCTGGGGCTACAGGGAGACCCTGTCTCAAAAAGACCAAAGAAGAAAAAAAGGGTAATTTCTGAGGATTTTCTTGAGATAGTTTTAACGTGTTCTCATTACATTTTCTGTTGACTGTTAGTGTGAAGTTTTTTTTCACCTGTATTTTGTGTGTCTATTGAGAATTATCTGCTTTTCTTTTCCCCCATGTAAACATGGTCTATATAAAACCTTGAACAACATGCAAATTTCCCAGTACTGTTACTTAATTTTTAATGATTTGCAGCATTATCAGAATATATTCTATGTTTTATATTTTATATTGAATCCATACACATGTAGCCACCTATATTTATTTACTTTTCTACTTATATTTAAACAGTTCAGAAACTATTGCCAGATGTTGGTATATCCTGCTTTCTGGATCTGTACTTGTAAAAGATGCCATGGTCCTGCCTCCATGCAGGTGAGTTTCCATTAACTTGTGTGGGGGTTTGTCTTGTGACTCTGTCTTATTGTATAGCCTTGAACCTAGGCCCCACTCTCAGCCTCTCCAGTGGTGGGATAGGATTATGTGCATTGTCCTCCCTACCTCGGTACATTATCTTCTTAATGCATAAAGCAAGCAAAATTAGGGACTAGAGAGATGGCTCAGTGGTTAAGAACACTGGTTGTTCTTGCAGAAGACCCGGGTTTGAATCCCAGCACCCACTTGGCAGCTGACAACTGACCGTAACTCCAGTCCCAGGGGATCCGACAGCCTCTTCTGACCTCCGTGGGCATTGCATGACATGGATGCACTTACCTACATGCAA